TGTTAACCCAGAAGAGAATTGTCCCTTCTGGGTCAGGGGACCGTAGAGAGGTTGTTTCAGCTGGCACATCCTCCACATGGATAACGTCTTAGACAATTGGCATTTGAGGTCCTAGCACCAGGTTCATTGTATGATGCTGAAATAGCCACTTCCTGGGCAGAAAGACAATGTATGCTCTGTGAGTGATCACCTAACGTTTTTGTGACTCCCAATGGGACCAACTGGACATCCTTTTCCAGGGAAAGCACTGTCTTTCCACCAAGTTGCTCACATCACCGAGACCTTTACACATGCTCAGAGCACACCCATATGCGATGCTCAAGGTACTTCTCTGCAGATGAGTACAGAGGCATCGCAACAGGAGCCAGAGTGCTCTGCTATGGAAAGGCATCATTATTCTCTGCCGTAGCAGGTGGTGCTGCCCGCAGCGCTGCTCCTTGATGCCTGCATGTAGAAGTCAAGGACAGAGATCTGGAACAGACACAGTGCCAGCTCAGAGGGCAGAGAATTGTGTCCAGAGCTGTCTTACAGAGTTGATCAGACACTTATGAAACCCTGCAACCCACCCTGAAATTATACTCAGTGATAATTTTGAAAGTGACACACTCTTAGAATAGCACACAATTACAGGCCAAACCAAGACCCAGGGATTAGTAGATGCTCAATAAATGTCAGCGACTGATTGATAAAAAAGATTACCTGGTTTCAGTGTAACTGATTTCAGCACAGAAGGGGAAACAAGTCCTAAAGATCAGACAACACAATCACCTTTCATGTTGACCTTCTAGAGTTATCGTTGCAAAGCAGAACTTACAGTGCTATTTGTTTAAACATCATTGACTGTATTTTTATTAGAAAAGGTATTCATACTCAGTGTGGAAAATTTGAAAAACAGGGAAACATATAAAGAAGAAAATTTAAATGAACCAAATTCCCCAAACCTCAATGATAAGCATGGTTAATATTTTGGTATATCTCCTTCCAGATGAGTAGGTAAATCCAGTTTTATATCCAATTTTCATTTGTTTGTTGACTATTTGAATTTCTTTTGGGGAGAGAGAAATGCTTATTTAAGTTTTTTTGTCCATTAAGAAAAGAATGATTTGCTTTATGTTGATGAATTATAAGTTTTTAAAATATATTCCAGATACTGGACCCTTATCAGATATATAATTTGCAAATACTTTCTCTTATTCTATAGGTTTTCTTTGAACTTTCTGGATAGTGTCCTTTGATACACAAAATACCTTTAATTTTTATGAACTTCGGTTTATCTTTTTTCCTTCTCTTTTTTTGATTATGTTTCAGGTATAATATCAAAGAATCCATTTTCAAATCAAAGGTGATAAATATATATTCCTGTGTTTTCTTCTAAGTGTTTTATAGTTTTAGCACTTATATTTAGGTCTTTGATCCACTTTGGGTTAATTTTTGCTTATGATTTGAGGTAAGGATCCAACTTTATTCTCCTGCCCCAGTTGTCATAGCACCATTTGTTTAAGAGGCTATATTCTTTCTCCAGAATGGTCTCGACACCCTTGTTCAAAATCAATTGACCATACCTGTACGAGTTTATTTCTGGGCTCAATTCTACTCCAATGATCTATATGCCTATCTTTATGCCAATACCACACTGTCTTGATTAAGTAACTTCGTAGTGTACTTTAAAATTAGGAAGTGTGAGGCCTCCAACTTTTTTTTTCATGATTGTCTTGGCTTTGTGGCTGTTTATTATTCCATATGAATTTTACAATCAGCTTATCCATATCTGTAAAAATGGTATTTCAGATTTTTATAGAGATTGCATTGAATATGTAGCTTGTTTTGTGGAGTATTGCCATCTTAACTATATTAAATCCCCCAATTCATGAGCATGGGATATCTTTCCATTTATTTAGATCTTCTTTAATTTCTTTCAGCAATATTTTATAGTTTCTGAGTACCAGTCTTGTATCTCCTTGGTTAATACTTATTACTAACTGTCATATTATTTGTAATGCTTTTCTAAGTAGGACTGTTTTTAAATATATGTATATTTTTATTGATTTTATAGAGATAGGAAGGGAGGGGGAGAGAGAGAAACTGATGTGAGAGGAAAACATCCATGGGTGCCTCCTGTACACCCCCTACTGGGAATCAAGACCGGAACGTGGGCATATGCCCTGACCAGGAATGGAACCAGCGACCTTCTGGTGCATGGTGATACTCAACAGACTGAGCCACACTGACCAGGGTGCATGCCTGGGTTGCAGGCTTGATCCCAAAATCTTACATAAAATATTGATTAGCTTATGTGAAGTAAACTTTCTGATAATCTCAACTTTGACTTGTTAGTATTAGATACTCTCTATTTTTTAAAAATAGTTATTATGATTCCAAAACAATTTTTTTTTCTTTTTCTTCTTCCAATATTGACTCATTTAACCAGTCCAAAGAATGCTTTTCCTTTACATCTGAAATACTGTGGTTCCCTTTTAAAAATACTTACATTGGCTCTCCCCCCCCCCCCCCCCCGCCCCACTCTCTACATCTGAGCCAGGAGACATCTCTTTTTCAGTACACAAGATCATGGTGTGCTGTTGTCCACCATGTGTGCTGTTACACTCCCCCATTGGCCTTGCTCTGGATGGGTGATTACAATGCAAAGGCTCTTGCTAAAGTTCTGTGTCCAGCACTCACCCATGTAATATGCAGCAGGGCCCAGGAGGGGTCTCCTGCTTCTAATGCGAGGCTATCTGGCAGTGGGGACGAGTATGTGCCTTGGAAAACTTTGGAAATGTTTGTACATGTGCTCTGAGCCACATGATGGCCTGTCTCCCATTGCTGCAGCCATGTCCTAGGATGCAATCCCCCACCCCCCACTCTGACCCTCACTGTGCCACTCCAGGGCCTAAATGGGGTCTAAATTGGGTTTTAGAATAGTGTCAGGCTAAGAAGTGCAGATTCAAGGATGAAATGAATGGCTTTGCTTCCCCTCCCCACCCCCGCAAAAAAAAAAAAAAAAAAAGTGAAAGACTTATAAAAGGGAATGAGCTGACTGTTCTTGTCATCATAAAGGCCCGAGTCTCTGATATCAGAGCTTCCTGTACACACTTGTCCACTAGTAAGTGCCTCACATGTTTTGGTTATACAGTCCTTACACCACTCTATTATTACCTTTTACAGATCATGAAATGAGGCACAAAAGTGATAAGTAACTTTTTCAGGTCACCCAGTTACTGAGTGGTGAGGTCAGCATTGAATCCACAGCCTGACTCCCCTCCTTTAACCACTTTATGTTATCTGTCTATCCATCCACCTACCCATCTGTTCATCCATCCACCTATCCATCCATTCATCCATCTATTCATCCATCCATCCATCCATCTATCCATCCATCCATCTATCAATCCATATACTTACCAATCTATCCAGACAGATAACAGATATAGACATGTATCATTATGTACACACACACACACACACACACACACACACACACACACACACTTACACACACATACCCTAGCATCCTTTCCTCCTTTACTCATCCTTGTTTTGCCTCTACCCTGCACAGCTGAGCTCTGGTAGAGTACACATTCTCCTCGGGGCCTGACTGGTTCTGAATAACACTCCTAGTTTCCTTTGATCTTGGAATTTTGTATCATGTGGGTATTTTCGTGAATATTTCAATGAGGAAAATGAACTCAGTCCCACTAGCTCTCATCTGAACGCAGAAGCCCTCATAGAATTATTTGCATCTACACTTGGTCTTACGACTGTGCTTATTTTACTGATGGAAAAAGCCCAGAATGACTAGGCAACTTCCCCTAGATGTAGACCTAGCGATGGCCCAGCAGGGTGAGAGCCCGTCCTTACCTGGTTTGTTCCCTACTACGTATAGCCTGGTAAACTGTTTACTGCAGCTGTCTTTCCTAACCTGCTCCCGAAGGTCCATACATCCTCAAAAGCCACCCGCAATATTTGGTTGGATGTTATTTAGCCTGTTTGTTTTCTTCTTACAGGGGAGGATAGAAGGCAGACCCTTAACTGAGGTTTTATTTCTAATTAGGCTGGGTGACAATTGTCTTCGTTTGAGCTTTTATTTGACATCCTTCTAATTTTTTTTAAAAAACCATTGTTTTACTCTTGACAGACCTGTTATGTGTGAGATGTGAGACAAATGTACACGTAGAGGAAGCTTCTCTAATCAGCTGTATTTGCCTCAGACTCCTGAGGTTATGTAAAAACCAAAAGTGCACACACCAGGACACGCACCTCACCATAAACTTCTCCAGCGTATTTAATTGATTTCTGGGTTAGACTGTTTCAAAGCGTGTGATTTGTTGAGCATGTGGCCTTCATGATGCCCTTGGTATCTCCTTCCAACATAGAAATTGTTTTGTGTGGGTTTTTTTGTTTGTTTGATATCTTTTAGAGAAAGAGAGAAACATTGAATGCTGTTCCATTGTTCAGCCCATTCATGCATTCATTGGTTGCTTCTTGTATGTGTCCTGACTGGTGATCGATCCCCTAACATTGGCATATTGGGACAATGATGCTCTAACTAACTGAGCTATGCAGCCAGAGCCAACCAACATGGAAGTTTTGTCATTGTTGGGGAGGCAGCTTCTAGGCACATGGGCAACAGGGCCTCAGGGGCAGCCCTGCTTGGGTTAGCAACCTGGGCCAGGTGCATTTCGTTACACAGGTAAGCAGTATGTACAGCCCTGGCAACACCAATGATGGGAAACACCAATCATTTCAACTTTAGCCTTTTAATAAAAATCCTCTGAATTTGTTTTTTTTAAGTCAGGCTCTCTTGGCAGAACCAAGTAGGAGAGAAAATAATGGAATAATTGGAGGCTGCTGTCTTTTCACTTCCCACATAAAATTATTTGACGAGGCAGGCCAGAACTTTAAACAGGAATGCCAAGAAAAGTTGTAATTTGGATGCCAGTTGTCATGGCTTCGGGGTGTGTGCTTAAAGGACTTCCCCCGCCTCTCTCTGTCTCTTGCAGACATACTTCAATGACAATATCCTTACCCTGATCCGGACCCTGGTGACAGGAGGAGCCACGCCGGAGCTCGAGGCTCTGATTGCGGAGGAGAATGCGCTTCGAGGGGGCTACAGCACCCCCCAGACGCTGGCCAACAGGGACCGCTGCCGCGTGGCCCAGCTAGCGCTGCTGGACGGGCCCTTTGCGGACTTGGGGGTGAGTGCACCGTGCAGAGTCACTGCAGCCTGCTGTCTGCTAGCAGCTTGGTCTGAATGAACTGGGTGCCAGACAGTGGCAAGCTAAGATCTGTTTTTTCTACCTTCTACAGCAGTGGTTCTCAACCTTCCTAATGCAGTTCCTCATGTTGTGGTGACCCCCAACCATAAAACTATTTTTGTTGCTACTTCATAACTATAATTTTGCTACTGTGATGAATCGTAATGTAAATATCTGATATGCAGGATGTATTTTCATTGTTACAAATTGAACATAATGAAAGCATAGTGATTAATCACAAAAACAATATGCAATTATATATGTGTTTTCCGATGGTCTTAGGCAACCCCTGTGAAAGGGTCGTTCGACCCCCAAAGGGGTCGCGACCCACAGGTTGAGAGCCGCTGTTCTACAGTAAATAGGAAGTAATGTTTACAGTTTACTGTATATCAGGCCCTGTGCTTTACATGTAATCATTCATTTTGACTCTCATGGCAGCCCTTAGATGTAGGTTCTATTATCAGACACTCTAAGGAAACTGAAGCTCAGAGAGACGGAAGACTGGCCCCATCAGGAATTTGCATCAGGAACCCTGGCTTCAGAGCCTGTGGCTTACTCATTCCCCTGAGGTATCTCCTACCAAGAGACAGAAGACAGCAGGTGATGCCAACATGCAGTCAGTTAACCCAGAGGCCGACCACCACTGTGCTCTATCCCCATAACCAAGCCCAACTGTACATGAATAGCCCATGAGGAGCTTTTACAAACTACTCCTGGCCATGCCGAGCCACCGGGTTGCTGAGATTTGATGTCTGCATAGGACCCAGGCACTGGTGGATTTCAAAACCCCACCACTAATGTTGTGCATCCACTACTACCGGCCAAACAAATAGCATCTCCTGTGGACCCGTTAATGTCTCTAATTCCGGATACAGGTCTTCCAATATCTGAGGCTGACTCAGCCACTCTCCTCCACTCCCTCCCTGCTGCAGAGGGGACCAGTGCCAGCCCTCGGGGAGAAGTATGCCGTCTCAACTCTTATTCCCAGCCCTATTCCAGGGATGCGTTCAAGGGGTGGAGCCACAAGTCCTGAGAGCCAGTAAACCCACTGCACAAACAATAGTACCGCTCAAGGAAAGGGTCGCTTTCTCCGTTTCTTCTGAAACCCTGAAACCAACTTGCACCGTATAATAGTTCGCTTATGGGCAGGGACCTATTAGACTGGGCATTTTTGAAAGGCAGCTTCCACAGTTAGTGGCTCTTTTCACTATCACCTACTTACTGATATTTTTAAAGGACCAAGACTTTAAATAATGGTAAAATCGGGCTCTGTGTGTGTCCTCTGATATGCCTACATGGAAATCCCAATGACAGGGAGGACAATGGCAGTCACTTTATCCCTAGGGAACTCATTCTTTAGTGCCCTTCCCATAATGATAACACCAACCTGAAGCCACCTGGCTGCCCAAAGCCAGCATTGCCGAGTGAACGATTGAGCTTTAACATTCCACATGGGGCTGCAGACCCCGGGAAGGCGGCTGTGAACTGATTAGGACTGTGAATTCCGGTTATTCAGCCCGCAGACCGCCAGCTCCTGGGGAAACATTTTCCCTTCCACTCTTGCCGTCTCTGAGGTCTGTAAATTGTGCTTTTCACACAGTTCTTACCTGGAAGAGTCTGTCACCATAGTACCTGGTGGGGTCTTTTCTTCTTGCAGTGATTTTAATTATCACTCGAGCGGCTTTGACGACACGGTCAGATCACAGTGATTGCAGCCATGCTGCGGCTAAACATAATCACCAACTTGCAGAGCTGTTTTCTTCTCCCCAGCTAACGTGCATCTGCAACCCTCAAGCTTCACACCCTCCAAGTGAGGGAGAGGTGCCTTCTCCTCAGAGCTCTCGCTGCTACAGTGGAAAGCTCGAGAGAAGCGAGGGAAAACCTCCTTAAGATCAGCATCAAAAAAATCACCGATTTGGGGTGTAGGCTGTTAACCACATTGCCTTTTACAGCCACAGTCCCTTGGCACAGACCCTCCAACTCAGGTGACACCAAAACAAGCATTCCTGAAAAGGCCTGTTCCCCCTGGACCTCTACGTGCAAGCTAATAAAAATGATGCTTCTCTCCGTTGTCTGTTGTCTCCCAGGATGGCGGTTGTTATGGTGATCTGTTCTGCAAAGCTCTGAAAACATATAATATGCTTTGTTTTGGAATTTACCGGCTGAGAGATGCTCACCTCAGCACCCCCAGCCAGTGCACGAAGAGGTAAGTCTACTTCTATCTGCTCTCCCACCGAAATGCACAGACATAAATGACCCTCCTGCGCCCTGAGGAAGGCAGAGGCCTGTATACATGCTCTCAGCAAGCAAATCACTCTGCTCACATGCGACCCAACACTGAGTTTGGAGGTTACGGGAAGCTTTTTTCTTTAATTACTAATAGCAGGTGTGAAGACATTGTGGGAAGAATTCAGGTTGTATAGGATAGTTCTACCACCTAATTACAAATGTTTGAATAGGAGCATCTCCTCCAAACTCCAGCCACTAGAATAATTCTGTTGATACCTAATGTAGAGATATTTCATACTGCTAGTATTTAAGGTAAATGATTCCTTTGTCATCTCTTAGACGCTTATATTTTTACTTAGTATATTTTTAATTGACTCACTCATTCCCTTTTATATATTTACTTTAACAAAATTATATACTTATCACCACAAGCAGAAAAATGTATGCGAGTTATATTTTTCTAATATGCATTAAGATAAATTTGTAGCAGCCCCATATTAAAAGGACATCCTAGAATGATCAAAATCAGGGTGTGTACCTATACCCCAGGTAAGAAGCTATAGAGTTGAGTGTTTCTCAGCCTTGCTTGCATATTAGAATCACTGGGGGTGCCTTTAAAAACAATACTCAGATTAGTCTGACTTAACCTGTCCGGACTGAAAATAACATTGTTTAATGCCCAGGGATTGCTGTGGATAGTCAGGGTTGAGAATGATTGCTGTAGCCAGTGGGTTCTCAAAGTTCAGTGAGCATGAGACTCACCTGCAAAACTCGCTAATCCACAAATTGCTGGACCCCATGCCCAGAGTGTCTGATTCAGTAGGCTTGGGGTGTGGTTGCTTAAGAATTGGCATTTTTAAGTTCCCAGGTAATGCAGATATCTCTGGCCTGGGGACCACACTTTGTGATCCACGGCTGTCAATGAAACTGTGATTATTTTTTTTAAAAGTCATGTCTGGTGTGAAGCAGAGGAAGCCTGATCACACCCAGGAGCACAGTAAAAGCAGGACTGACTCATGGGCGAGGAGGTGTTTTATGTTCTTCATTTAGCCAAATCCCAAGCAAAGTAGCTTTTTAAAAGGTAAAGAGTGAGGAAGGACTAAGGAGATGCTACATTATGGTAAGCAAAGATCCTGTAATGTGTGCCTAGGCCTGTTAGAACGTTCTAGAATGAAAGACACAGTGCAGTCCATGCAACCACCTGCGTGCACTTGGGCTACTCAGGATGGGAAGTAAACCTGACATTGTTGACAGGGGCCCTTAGATCACAGGCAGCACAGTTTGGTTTTTCCATTACCGGCATTGACTCAGCTTCTTGGGATGTCAGGACTCATGGCTGGTCTCCTCTGTTGAGCTAAATAGAGGAAGATTTAGTTCAACTCGGAAGATAACGTTTAAAGCTTTGGACCAACCATCAGTCCACCGTCCAGATGGTCCGGTAGAGCTGAGGAACCAGGCAGAGTCAGGTGAAATCTCCGCCCATCCTCCTCACCCTGTGACCTCTCTGTTCTCCCCGGCCAGGTATGTCATCACCAACCCCCCGTACGAGTTTGAGCTCGTGCCGACGGACCTGATCTTCTGCTTAATGCAGTTTGACCACAACGCCGGCCAGTCCCGGGCCAGCCTCTCCCATTCCTCCCACTCGTCCCAATCCTCCAGCAAGAAGAGCTCCTCCGTTCACTCCATCCCGTCCACAGCAAACCGACCGAACCGGCCCAAGTCCCGGGAGTCCCGAGACAAACAGAAGTACGTGCAGGAAGAGCGGCTCTGATATGTGTATCCACTGCCACCGTGTGTGAAACTGTATCTGCCACTCATTTCCCCAGTGGGTGTTTCCAACAGTAACTCTCCCCGTTTCCGCCTGTAGCCCCCCCTTTTTTTTACACATATTTGCATATGTATGATAGTGTGCATGTGGTTGTCATTTTTATTTCACCACCATAAAACCCTTGAGCACAACAGCAACAAAGCAGAAGGACCAAAAGTTATTTACGATAATAGGGGGACAGTGACCCAAAGGCAGGCTCCAGACCTACGGAGCTCACTGCGGGAACGAGGTCGCAGATAAGCGCAGCGCTGGCGACCCCTGTCACTTAGGCAAAGCAAGTGAACCAGTTAGTGAAGTCGATGTAGAAGAAAAGCTCATTCTGACTTATCGGGATTATCAGGGTGCTTTGGGTTTTGATTTTGTTCTTGTTTTCCTTCCTTCCTTTCTTTCTTATATATACACAGTCATATATACACACATGTTTATTTGAAACAAGCAACCGAAAAGGAACAAAAACATAGAGAATGTTTCCACTCTCTGGGCCGAAGGATCGCAAAGCTTTTGAAAAGCGTTCCCCATTTGTGTACAAGATGGTTAAGTCTCTGCTTGTTGCAAGAGCACATCTGAGGCTTTTTTAGCTACTAATCCAGGGCTTCAGTCCCAGAGCTGGCTTCCTTGGGGAGTTCATATGAACATTTCTACCCTCACCGTGGAGGAAAGAATCGTATTCCATTTGTGGATCTATCAAATTCTAGTCATTTAATTTAAGTGCAAAGAGGTTTGATTGCATATTAAATTGTTATTCTGTCTCCTTACGCTGCCATATGAATAGCTATTTTTTTTTCTTTCACTTTTGACATTTGGGATGAAAAGCCATATGTATCATAAATATCAGATGTAAGTCATTAAAAACTGCCTTCCTGGGACTTTTACATCTTTTAAAAGGTGAATTACTTACCTTATGTACAGAATAAATAATGCTCCGGAAAGAGCAAGTATTTTTCCACACATTCTCAGGGGACCTTTTTACTCCCCTCTGTTTGATTAGCTAGGGCCCCCATGCCTGGTAGGAGCGAGGGCTGGGGCCATGGTGCCGAGAGAGGAAGATAAAGCCAGCAGCAGATCATTGTTTCTTAGGAGCCAACATGCTAAATAAATCGGAATGTAGGAGAATCGAGCCACAGTTGACTCAACAGAGACAAAAGCCAGCTACCACCTTAAACTGTTGGTACAGCTGCTTGACGCTGGCTGTCCCACAGCCGAAAGCTGGTGGGAAAAATTCCTCCTCGTCAATTTCTTAATCGTAGCCAATTCACGTAGGCCGGCGAAGGGCAGTCATAGACAACTGTTCCTTGTCATTTTGAGCTGGGGAGGAGGAGGAGAGTACAACAGTGAGCCAAACACATTTTGGTATAATTATTTTTTTTCTTTTGTTTTCTTTCTTTCTTTTTGTCAGTTAGTAAGCATGAGAGGAAAGGTAGAAAAATACCCTCTTTTCAGTGTACAGTTGTCAGATGTTTTATGCATGCAAATCACGCTTTAGGCAGTGCAGTAGTTGTTAAAAACTGGCCCACTCCACCTTAACCGAAGTCTTATACAGATGGGCTAGCCCTGGGCTGGTAGATACATATTTAAAATGTTTACTTTTAAAAAAAATCCCATCCAACAGAATAGGGGTGGAGGGGAGGAGGAAAATGTCATAGCTGTACCATCTCTGCAAAGGTGTTTTTATGGTGAATGGTTTGGGTTTAGATTTTGGATGCCCTGTTCCCCCAAGCATGGTAGTTTTGGAGATTTGCTTGCTGTGTGAATTGACAAGCACTTTTACTGACAAAAGGGTGAGGCTCAGTCAGAACTTCTATCCCCACACCAAAGGCAGGGCCGTGCAGTATCCAAACCAGTGAAGGGGTGGGGCATAATTGCATACATGTATATTAAAAGGCCCTATGAGTGGTTTTTTTCCCAAATTATTTTTGTCCCTAGATATTGATTTATATATTATGTATAACTACCTATCTTTTTATATATAACTATATAAATATTTCTCTCTCTATACACATATATACACATATGTATATATATATGTATATATACTATACACACACACACACACACACACACACACACACATATGATCTAGTTTGGGATCATGAAGATCTCTTCGTGCCTTCTTTGCAAAGGAGGTTATAAAGTTATGCCCTCAGAACATTTATAACTATAAGAATGTGCCAGTTAAAGTGCTCAACAGGAAATATGACAGTTTAAAAGCATTGTAAAACTCACATAGCTTACTTCTCTCTCTAAAGTGCAACAAGGATGAATAGAATGGGCCAAGGTATGACAATTAATGGTTCTGCATGACCTAGCCACTGCTGGGGGTTTTCTTCTATACCGTTGTCCTTGTGAAAACTTTTGTGAAATTAAAAAAAAAAGGAGTTATAAATTTTATTCTGTTATTGGTTTGTTTATTTTTATTTATATTGTTCTGTTTGTGGTTTTATTTCTTTTGTTTTGCTTTCCCCCCTCCCATTTCCCCTCCTCCCCCCTCCCTCCTCCTCTTCCTCCCTCCACTTTCTAAATTGCTCAGCGCAATGAGGCTGTGCTGCTGCTACTGCTAGACCCTTTAGAGTTTGTTTTGGTGTTCTTGGGTTTGGGGTTGGGTAATTTGGGGGGAACTTCTCTCCATCTGGCTTGCCTTTAAATCTGCACGTGGCCTCCCTGCCCACCTTGGTACCTTGCTCCAAGTTCAAAAGCATTTTCCCATCAAGAAACCCAGCTTCCTCCACTCCTCTCCACTCCCCCCCCCCATTACCACCACCTCACCCCAGCCCCCCATCAGTCTGTCCACATCTCTGTGTTTATCTTGGCAAGACCTACTAAATCGAGTGATGATGCCAGGTGATAAACTTTTCTGGAAAATATCTGCAGTGCTCCATTTGGCAAACCTGCTTCTCGGGTAATATTTCATCCTCCTTCCGATTGAAACCAGGAGGGTCATTGATGGCAAAAGCATTGGTCTCGTTTATGTTTGATCAGTGTGACCCCAAAATTAAAACTGTTCACCTGTATGTAGCAACTCAGTAGCTTACCCCCAGTTATCTGGGGGCTAACGATTCAGTTATTACCTAGGTCTCTCCTGCCACCTGCCTTTCAGACATTTGTTAATTTCCAACCAGAGATTGGGCAGATAGAGAGAAGTAGATCTAAAATGCCTTTTATATGCAATCTGTTAGCAGCTCTGATGAGATGATATTGTGACGGGAATGGAGTGGAACCAGGCTGTGACGTGAGATGACATTGGGGGTTTTCCCTGGACTTGGGCACACAATTGAGAGTTGACTATACTTGGGTAATGAATATGTTCAGTGATGAAAAAGGTATTATTATTATTCCTTCTATTTTATTAGCCAAAACGACCATACTATACTTTCCTCCATACGACAGAGTCTCTCCCATTGTTTTCTGTGTGACTCCAAACTTCCATTCCTCCTTCAGATTCTCTTAGGGAGGAGGCATACAAGTTTGATGTCTCTCCTTTCCCCCCTCTGCCCCACAAAAAAGAATCCAGTAGGTAAGGGTAAAAAGTGAAACAGTTATTTGAAGAGAACATATGTGCATTTAAACAGAGCAACAGGTAGAAGCTCAATTATCTGCTTCATTCTAGAAGGGAAGCAATTTGTAAGCCATTCAGGCCAATTTGCTTTAGGCTGCAAAAGGGGTAAACCTTAAAAGTAAGTGGGTGGGTAGACCAGGAGGCCTCCACCACCTCAAAACTCGGATGATAATGAAATCATCAGCATCCCTAATGGTTGCTACTCGGGGTCCTTCCTGAAGCCAGTTCAAATGGCTAAAGAGAAAGCTGGACCCTGTGTGTATATTTAGATTTATACCACAGCCCAGAAAAGTCTCAAAGTCTATTATAAATCCTAAAGATTGTGCCCTAGAACTTAACGCACAATAGGTGCTCATTACATACTTTGAAATACACTGACCTTAGACATTTTTCTATCTTTCATTATTTTATAAACCATCTCTACCCCATTGGCTTATCTTGAAAAACACAGCAGATGCCCGTAGGTGCCCCCAGGATGCTGCTGTGCTGTTGGCACTTTCTCGGGCTGGGTACCCAGTGCCTGAGAAAGGGGAACAGTCCTGCGAGCTCAGTGAGTGGAGATGGACTGTGTCTTCTGCCAGCGTAGCCAAGCTCCCAGGTGACCAGGAAAACCTTTTGCCTGGCTCTTCTTCAGCATGGGAAAAGCCTAAAGGTGTCTGCATCCCAATAGAGACAATTAAATCAACCTGCCCGGTTCCTATAGCAACAGGCTCCTGGAGGAAAAAGAGAAGAGCACAGAAACTCAGGGCCTGTGGAAGTCCAGACGGTAAAATCAATGTCTCAGCCAACTCCTTGCCGCCCATCCTGCTTTGTCAAAACATGATAAAGAAGTAGCTGTGGGCACCTGTCACTAACCTGGTTGCCTGTCTCCCACCAGGAGGCTGCACATTCATTCCTTGGGGAAGTGAGAGGGATTATCTCAGCCACCTGCCACCTGAAAGGGAAGAGTGTGAATTCCGCCCTCAGGTGTTGAGGGCCAGGAGGGGGCAGTTTGCTCTGCCCAGCCCATGGCAGCATTAGATTTTCAGGAAGAGGAGGCAAATGCAGTCATAGTGGACAATTGCAGAGAAGTGAGATCGTTTTCATCAACAAATTGCTCTGGTGCTGCTACAAAATGACTTTCATTTCTATAAAATAGCCACACTCTGCCCATGGAGAGGAAAGGAGACTGTGTGTGGGTGGAGTCCCCGGGGAGCCTGGGGGTCTGGAGGACAGAGTGTGAATGCCAGGCCGCCCCTCAGAAACGGGCGATGTGAAACCACACAGCATCACCTTCGAAGGCTGCACTCCTTGTTAGCTCTCACTGTCCTCCGCTGCTATGTCTATCCAAATGGAATCTTTTTTCTTTCAATCCCTTTCTCTCTAAGCCTCAACTTGTGACACTGCGAGAAGAGGGGCAATTATTCCAAATGCCTTCCCTGTATCATCGTCTCCCCTTTAATGCAGTCTCCTCTGGGGAGTAGTTATGTGAAAAGGCTAAATCCCACAGCGCTGACAACCCACGGAGCCAGCAAAGCGACTCAATTTTCACAGTGCAGCCTGTCTCTCTGCTTCTGGGTCCCCCGCAGTAATGTTAGCCCAGATCGGGGGCCTTCCCCACCGTGGCCTAATATTCTGGTGGCTGGAGGAAATGCTGACCTTATGCTGGACCCTTCCGTGTCAGTGATGAAAGTAGCAGGGGAAGATGGAGATGATTTGCAGGTGCGGTGGGGTGCCTGTGGAGTGAAAGCCAATATTTCAAAGAGGCAGGTACCAGAGGAGGGTAGGATCCCTGACCTCCCCAGACAGGTCACCCCTGCTCCTCACCTTCCACATGAAGACTACCCAACCAAACCCTCCTCTGTTGTCTCTATTGCCGCAATCCTGATTCTTCAGGCCATACCGACCCCCACTCCCCCAATGTATATACCTCAGTTCTCTACTCCCAGCTCATTTGCAGTCATACTGAAGGATACCTCCCATCTTTATGTAGCAGAGATGGAGATGCTGTTGGTATCCTTGTGTGAAAGATGCAGAGTCTGAGGGATAGATTTAGTCATTGTCACCTAACTAGGAAGCGGCAGAGTGGAATGTAAAACTGAAGTCTATCAATTGTGCTGCTCTGGTATAATGCCTTGCTAATGTTACTAATAATTGCTAATAGTCGTAACAGCTCACATTGACTTACCCTGTATCTGGACTGGTAGTGAGTGATTCATGGACCCCAGCCCCTTTTATCCAAGCCACAGCAGTAGGACAATCCTATAGTAGGCCCCATTTCACAGAAGAGAAACTAAAGCTAAGATACATTTTCTAATAACTTGCTCAGAGCCATGCAACTAGGATGTGAGAGAGCCAGGTCCATCTGAGCGTAACCTACCGCCCCATGCCATCTCCTTGGCCTACACCGCAGTGCTTGTCCATGCCGATGCATCATGGCATGGCTGGTCTGGAGAGGGGGCATCTGCCAATGGCAGTGCAGCTCTTTTACCAGCATCTCCTTGCAGTTGCTTCCAGGTTTCATCTTGTTCTACTGGGCCACTTGCCACAGACTGTGCAATGCCACTCCCGTCCTAACTCCAGCAGGTCACCTGTGTACTCCCAGTGAGGACGCCAGCACTCGTCCTCAGAAAGCTGATTAACAAGTGGGGCTGTTCTTCTCTGGCAGCGAGGAGGCCCTCTCAGTCAGGCCTACTGCCCTTCTCATCTTAGGGATGAAATAAAGTTCCCAGAAATCTCTCTGGCATGTGGGCCGAGGCAAGGACAGGAGATACATTTGGGGATTTGAATTTATCGTAGACCCCTACTTCAGCACGCTTTTGAATTTTTTCCCTGAACACCCTTCCTTGTGGCCAATTTTGTAGCCACCCATTGCCGCAGCTTCTTTTTGGGAAGGCAAGATTCACTACACCAGGGTGTCATTGTCATACTTGAAACTCTCTCCATTGAAGCAGAAAGGCTGGCGATCCAGCGTGTGTGGCCCTGAGCCCTTTGGGAGAAGCTGCTCATGCAATGCCCCCGCCCAGACAGTCCAGTACAATGCTCAGAGCATGCACATGTTTCCACTTCCTCTACATCCTGGCTCACCAAGTCTCCATCCAAATTGAAAAACCTGTGTCTCAGGCACAGGGAGACCTCAGCTTCCCTCCCGGACGGGCGTTAACACAACTCCTTGTGTCAAAGCCGAATGGTCGAAACACAGGGGCTACTCTGCTGAGACTGTTCCTAGGGCAAGGAATTTAAAAGGAAGGAGGAAGCAGATTACATGAAGGAAATAATTTTTTCTTACAGGCAGCAGAAGGAAATTGATATTCTCGCTGCCGTGAAAGGTCAAAATGCCAACTTTGAATTGAACTGTAAAGACTAAATTCTGAACAATTATTGTCGGCAGCAGCTGTAAAAATTTCAGCAAATTGCAGCTGTCTTAGGTCTTTCACCCAAAAGACCTACTCGTTTTCTCGTGCAGAGTTCACTCTCCCTACCAGCCTGGCATGAGCAACCTGGCATTAAATCCCTTTGCCAAACTAGTCCACATGGTGGCCAGGCCAACACCAAGGGAGGCCCAGGCAGACGGCGCTTCTAACCTCATCTTTACACATAAACCGCAGGAAAAAGTCATAGTTTGAAATTGTTTCAGCGGCCTGGCAATGCTTTTAAAACATGATAACCATCACACTTTACTCCTCTCTGAAAGGTTAGTTTAATCGTAGATCACAAAAAATTGGTTTCCACAAATGCATAATGGTTCATCTATGTCACACTTGAACTAAATGGTTTTTTAAATGGAGCTGAAATTATTTTGATGTGTACACAGTCCTGGGTTTCTATACAACCTTTTTTAACCAGCCCATCAGGAACCTTGCCTCGAAAGCCTCATTAATAATTCAGATGTGCTGATGACTTTAAAAGATCTATGGAATTGAAGCTCAGGAAGAAAGAAAGAAAAAAAAAAAAGCTCCGCTTGACAAAAAGATAAATGAATGTAGAAAGAAGCTGTAGGAGTCTGGCAAGCTGTAGATCATCTCAGAACAGATTGTAACTTTATCATTCTGTCAGGGGGAATAATTTAAAGCACTTAATCAGTTAGCTTCGCTGTGAGGATGTAGCATTATGAATTCCTATCGTCCAATCTGTTCAAATCAAAGTGAACTTAATTATAATAGGTGAGAGAGCCGGAGCAGGAGAGAGGGGGGTCAGGGAGAAGGATCCACAAGGCAGGAAGTTTTCTGGGGGGTAAAGCGAGCTGCTGAACAAAGGACAGTGAGTAAGCTTTCACCAAAGTACCCCCCACTTCCAGCCGTCGTGTTGACATTGAGGGTTTGAGGTACTTGACAGTGCGAGACAAAGTATAGACCAAGCAGAAACAAGCCAAGTGGCCATCAGCTAACCATAGATGCTGGACACACATGCGCTCGCACACACACACACACACACACACACACACACACACACACACACCCCTCTGTCACGCCAGGTGAGCAATTTTTGTTAACATGTCAGCTTAGGACCACCGACAAGGCAGCTATGAATTGCTCTGATAGGCAGAAAAGGCGGCCGGAGAGGTTACTGTCTCTTCAGCAGTGGGTGTGCTGAAGCTTCTCCCTTTTTCTTTTCTTATCCTAAGCCACTAAAAGGAGGCATATGATTCCCAAGTAGACTGTCCTATTTGCCCAGTCCATTCGTACCTATACACATGGCTTCTTTTCCCATTAAATTTCAATCCTAGAAAGAGGCGGGGTGAGGGCTAAGTCTTGGAAACTAGCATTGGATTGCTAAGAGGATGCCAGGCCACTGCGTCTCAGCCAGGGCCCGAAAGCGCCGACCCAGCATTCTTCCTCCGCCATCTCTGCATCCAGGGTGGCAATGAAATGCCAAGTCTTCCTTGAGCCCCCTTGTCAACAGCTGGGGTTATTATAGTCAGTTCAGGCAGTGCCACTAGAAATTCTTTTCATAACTTTATACCAACACCGAGTTTTCTTTCTTGAAATTTCAAAATCCTCTAAAAACATTGGTGGCTATTCTACTTTTTAATCTCATTGGCCAGCAAAATCTGTGGGTTTAATTTAAGACCCTCAAAACTGGCTTGCAAACAAAATAGAAGAATGGAACAGTTGACATACAACTTGAAGTATGCGTTTTACAAGCAAAGCTAAGTGCAGGCTGGGAGACCGAGACCCTGTGTGAGATTCTACATCCCTCACTCTGGGGCAGAGACAGTGCCCCTTACGTTCCACTCAGATCGATGGATGCCCAAATCTCTCCTCTGGTACAATGACTATACCCAGTATTTGATATATTTAACATCTTCTTCCCACCAAAGCTTTTCCGGCCACTAAAGGAACCCCAGAGAGCATGGCCAGCATTTGTTTTCCAACCCTTCTGTATTCTCTGAGGTCCCCCCTGGTGCCTCAAGTCCTCATGGCCCCTTGGTCATCACTTGTTATGGCAACAGAGGTATGTTTTAGGTTCTGGGGTTCTCCCTACATTGCAGTTTCTCTTAGCAATGACTTCATTGTCAGCTTCTATCTATTGCCTTTTTGCATTTTTCTATGAACTTTCCAAAAGCTTTACCCTAGAACTAATTAAGCTTCTCATTTCTCCTTCTTGTTCTCTATCCATTTTGCCCTTTAGCAGAAAAGAAATGGTTTACAGATGAACCGGATAATGCCTATCCCAGAAACATTCAAATCAAGCCCATGAGTACCCACATGGCTAACCAGATCAACCAATATAAATCCACAAGCAGCTTGATTCCACCAATCAGAGAAGTTGAAGATGAATGTTGACTCCCAGGAGACCAGAACTATTTTTTTAAAGCCTGACAAACTTCATAAATGGTGATGTGACTTTTCTTCCTCTTACATACTGAATCACTGGTGGAAACCTTAGGATAAGTGAGATTTGCAAGAAAGATAAAGTAGACAGATCTTTCTCTTTGTTTGCCTTGAATATTGCTTCCATGTATTTTGGAGAAGAAAATGATTTCATTTATAAATGAATATACTAAAATAGTCATGTATAGCCTCTAGCATTTTAAATTATTTTTATTTATTAGAAAGAAAATATATTTTTTTTCTTTTTTTTTTTTTCATTGTCAAATATCTTCCCTAGATCTATACAATGCAAAATCAAAATGAATATGTGGCCAGACTCCTTAATGCATATTTCTCTTCTTTCTCTCTTTTACTTTGGGGAGAATGATGGTCACCACCACAATTAATTATAACGAAAGGAAATGGATTATTTTAAAAAAAAACTTTTAATGGTTCAATGATGTAAACATGTATTTTAGTAAATTCAAAAAAAAAAAAGAAGATGAAAGGGGGCAGGATGGGTGTGTATTTTGGCTGCTCTGACACCAGCTCTTAATAAATGGAGACATTTATTTTCACAGTTGAAAGTCATATTTTTGTAGTTTTAGTTTTCATTCTGTATTTCTTATCCCTTCGTTCATATACTTAAAGGGAAGACCTCACAGCTTTTCTACAATTGCCAGGTCAGGTTCAGCCCGCCACTGACAGCACCCGGAGAGGGGTGAGCACGCTGGGACGTGGACACTGAGGGCCAGATGCACAGGAGACGTGGCTCTGCCTATTGTCTTAGTGGTGGGGACTCCTCAGCTGTTATGCTTCTCACTTCATAGCTCTGAACCACCCTCAGAAGTGATTTCAACCATGAAAGGGTCTGGGGGGCTGTCCCCACTCCCCATGTCAGAGATTTTACCCTGAAAGTTTGTAAACACTAATGAATCCTTTTGTGTAACAATAGGATGTGATACTACATTCATTCTTTTCACTGAATTTTGTGTTTTAAAGCCAGATATTTTCTATAATCAAGGAGATGACTTTTGCCAGATTTTAGCTCTTCGGGCTTTCTTTCAGTCGCTGGGACAAAACCCACAAACTTGCTACAGCAATGTAAAAATTAATAACAAAAGGAAAGCAACAAATGCACTTAAAACAGACTGTTAGGAAAGGCCTTTGAAATTTACCAGCAATGAAATCAAATGTATCAGCCACTTCAAACTTTGGTCAAAATTCGTTCTAGCCACCAGACACAGTTCCCACGTCTCAGAGCCCTGCTGTGGCTTGCATGCCCAGTGTACAGTGGTCCCGGCAGCTGTTATATTTCAAACAATTGAGCAAGTCTTTTAATTACAGGATTATCCATTTTTGATACAGTCAGCAGGGTCTCTGGAGAAGCATGGATGTGACAGTAATTTTTATTTCCTTAAAAATGTAAACTGTGGACACTTGAAGAAACCAAACTTACCAAAATATCCCCCCAAAGTCCCATAATATTCCATTAATTCTTTAGGCCATGACCCTGTGGTACCTAGTACGTTAGTGCAAATCAGATCAGAGGCAAGCCATGCAATCACCATGGAAACATATGCCCACTAAGTCCTCCAATTACAACGTAGGCAAAATGAGCTTCCGCCTCTGTCCACTCCCTGCGGAGCCAATGTCCTCGTGCTTGTCGGCGCCGTCCTGAAGTGACTTGTCAGACTGTGTCGTCACATTCTGTAGCATTAGCTCTATAAAAGTATTGTGAATATAATGTATGTCCAATTGGGTTGTTTAAAAACTACTTATAACCAATCGCTAGCCTCCTCAGCAGACTACAATGACGTCAGCAGTCTCTATTCAGGCTTCTAGGCATCTCCTGGTTTCCACTGTGGGGCGGGTCTCTGGCTGGGTTTTGACAGCTTTCCTGGGAGCCGGGCCTACTTTTACATATGATTTTGCATTGGGCTGTCCTTAGCACATGCACACCAAGCCACGCTCTTCTTTCCTTCATGAACCCCGGTGGACTCTTCCCCACTCGTGTTCCTGACAGTCATTTCTGAATTTGTCCTGTTTGGTCTCCTTCCAGGGGGTGATGGTGGCCACCTCAATGACCTTAGAGGAACTTAGGCCACTGAGTCCCTTGTCCGCTGCCCTCTCCTCCTCTGGCCACACCAGTCAGTCTGAAAGCAGTAAACACCCAGCCCATCATTGCTGGAGACCGGAATCTGAATTTTTTTTTTCTTTTTTAGTAAAAAGCTAAGATGGTTTTCTACAGCAAAGGATACCCCCCCACCCCCCCCAAACACTAATTATTGGGAATCCATTTTCTTCTAAGGTGGAGCAGGAAGCTCATGCTGTTTGCCTTTGTAATATTGAATTGGCCAGAAAATAAAAGCAGGCGTGTGTTTAAGAAGGTGTGCAAAATGATTGGTTGGTCGCTCCTTAGACAAAACCTTGCTCCTGGTAGGCTGGCAGTGAGATGAAAACAGAAGCAAGACTGTAAGGTCACTGAAGGACTCCTAGAAGGCCAGAGCTTCCGGGTTTGTTTCTGTTCGTTCAACTCTCTGGCCCTGAGGGCGTGCTCATTCCACCCACCAGGACAAACTCATCTTTCTGGATAAATTCAGTATAGAGCGATGATGGTCATCATTGGTACAGTCAGTGTCATAAGGCTCTGTCTGATCTGCCATCTGAGGTTGAGGTTCAGAAACGCTGTTTTACCAAACTACAGATTCTTGGATGCTTTGGGAATCAAAGACTCACCAACAGGCTATTAAAAAACAGAAAGCACCTACTTATTAAGGCATTGTCACCTTCATCATCTTTCTTTCTAAGAATGCTTTCACTTCGGCCTGAGAAATTTTATATTTTAAAACATCACCTTGAACAAAACATCTTAAATAAAAGTGATTGTGACTAAGGCAGGTTGGGGGAATACTCAGGCCTCTTTCCTTCGAAAGGTTGGGACATCTAATGATGTACTTTGTACAAATGTAATTGAAGGCTTGAAATTAACTGGGAATTCAAGCTGTTTGTTTAGGAGTGGAAAGGGGGGAAGTGAAAAAGCATAAGAAAATTAGGCACATTTTCATGTGAAAAGGTGAGAGTCCAACTTTCCTACTAATGGTTTAATTGGGGATTCTAGAGCTACATCTGCAAATACCTAGCTATATGAAAATGTCCTTTAACTCTCTGAGTCTCAGTGACATCTCTGTAAATGAGAGTGATTTGTCTTGATGACTCTAATATCCCTTTCAGAGCTGAGGGAACAGGGTCCCGGTCAGGAGTGGGAGCGTGGGACCCAGCCTTTGGGGACAACTTGCCCTGGGCTATCACGACGGTCCTCCTTGCTGTCTCTCCCAGGCGGTACTCCTGAGGGCAGTGTGCACTTCCTGCTCTGGGCACATAGCCGTTAGGTTCATTCTTTAACTTTGGAGTCTCTTTAGGCTCAAAATACAAATTTCAAAATTCAAATCCTCCTGTAGCACATTGGTTAGATGTTTCTGTGTATTCCTAGGGTTTTCTTTGCAATCTTCTTCCTGCCTGTTTTATTTCTTGCCTCAAGGTTCAGTTTTGGTCAATCCCCCCACCTCTAACTCGTATCTCCAATTTCCAATATGTAGTTAGAGGCTCATGAATATTGGATTTCTGACATTTTCTTCATTTTTTATTTCTACATGGGTATCTGGGTTTTAGGAAGTAATCAGTCTTACTTCTCACTTGATTCCATACTCTCTGTTTATTTGATTTTTTCTTCCATTAGTACACTAGCTATCTCTTTATTACTTGCATTAATAAGTCTAATTTCGATATATCATGCTTCATTGTGAAAGAGAACCCCAGGGGGGAAAAAAAAAAAAGCAAGAAAGGAAGGTGTAAAAGGAGGAAGAGATTAGAAAGAGAGAGAAAACAAAAAGAATACCAAACCAATTGACTGAGTGCTGGGGTCCAGCCCCAGCAGGTCCAGGGGTCCCCAAAGGTGTGGACGGAGTCGGCGAAGAAGGAATGACACGGAGACAGCGTTCAGTTGATCAGCAGCCTAGCCAGGATCTCTAGCCAAGTTCTGGTCAGGATCTCCAGCGAAGTTCTGGTTAGGATCTCCAGCCAGGTTCTGTTGCCATGTTCCCTCGCTAGGTTCTCCAGTCAGGTTCTGTCCAGGTTCTCCAGCCAGGTTCAGTCACCAGGTTCTAGTCAGGTTCTCTTGCCATGTTCGATCCAGGTTCTGTAGCCAGGTTCTGTCTCTTGGTTCTTCAGCCAGGTTCTCTCGCTAGGTTCTGTCTCTAGGTTCTGTGGCCAGTTTCTGTCCAGGATCTTTTGCCATGTTCTCTCCAGCGAAGTTCTTCTGTCTCTAGGTTCTGTGTAGGTTCTGTGTGTAGGTTCTGTGTGTAGGTTCTGTCTCTCTTGGTTCTGTCTTCTAAGTTCTGTCTCTTTCTGTCTTGTTACATCTGTATTTATACCAGTTGATTCAATCCTATCAATCTCTATTACAAAGGTTAGGGCGTATCTTATCTCCATTCCAGGGAGTAAAGGTTATGTAGCTTAAGCATGATTGTTCATAGTTGAAGTGATTAATTACCTGCCTGGCACTTAGTTAAGAGGTTTTATTCCCTCCCTAACTTCAGGGGAAAATCCCTACCTGGGGAAACAACCTTTCTCAGAGACCTTGGTTAAAACACATAGTGCCAAGAAGGTGAGCAAACATATTAAGAACAGTATGCCATATATGCCAGGTCCCTTGAAACAGCAAGGATGGACCGGCTCCCGGCAACTGAGATGTTAACCACCTTACTCATAAGAGTTGAAATCCATTCAACTTGGACGTGGAGTTCCAGTGCAGAATCTACTCCCTTTCTCTTCTATGTTACATTCTGTTCTAAGTTGCTGCCTTTGCAGCGGTGGTAAAATCACCAATCACCATAGTTCACAAAAGGGCCTTTACTATTTAGGGTTTGACTCATCCTCTTTTAAAAACAGAAGGGACTGAGAATTCACTTACAACTCACCTGGTAAATTACCTTTGTGCCCCTTTTTCACCTGGCCGATGTTTCTGAAGGGCATTTTTTTTTTCTTTCTATTTAGAACAGATGACTTAACATTTAGATCCCATGTTAATTTGAGGAGGCGAGGTAGCCCTTTGGGTTTATTTATGAGAGAGTAATCATTAGAAATGATTTCTAGCTGGTTTGTATTGGAGTGGCCATATTGGTTGTTTAAGCGAAGTCTGTTTTGATTGGTAGTTCCCCTTGCTGAACCCATTGTTAATATTTTAAAAATTGCCATACAACAATTCAAAGAAGACTTTAATCTTATTTCCCAAGCAACTGCAGAGCCTAATTTGCCATTCCTATGGTAAGCTTGCTTGGAACATGTACAGAGAGAAAGCAGATCATGTGCCTGAAGCAGCAGCCCTTTGTCCATACAACAGTCAAAAGCTCCCTGATACCATAGCCTCACATGGTTAGACTGAGAGGCAATTTTCAGTTAGACTATCTGTACCAGACCCTCCTTTTTTGCCTTGTTTTTTTAGCAAGAAAATTGGCCTGATACTTCCATAGCTAGAGATAGGCCAAACTCAAGACATTCATCAAGGAGCTAGGAAGAAAGAACAAAAACAAAAAGGTATAAACAGCCTTTTAAAGGGCCAGCCAAGAGCACGTATGTCATGGCAAGAGATAGCGCTTTGAGTTGAAAGGAGGGCGAGGTTGCATTGACCTATGTGGGATGAGAAGATACAGAGGAATATACTGTTTGATGGCGTTGGGAGGTATTTCAATAGGCGATAAGTGACTTGAGGAATGTGGAGTGTGTTTTCCAGGGAGAGGGGGTCTTAATGGACCATAGCTCATTGATAAGAATGTGATTTCAATATATAGACAATTTTTACTACAGTGACAAGTTCACATAGGGGAGCTGAGGAAAACTAGGATGAGATCTCCCTGGAAGGGACGAGACAATAAACAGTTTTAAGGGGCAAGCGAAGATATTGAGACTTGGTTTAAAAAGTCACGGGAAGCCACTAAAAGTTCTAAACAGAGAGCGATAAGCACTAGTGCCTTTGTGCTGTCAGGTAGGAAATTCTGAGATGTCAGTTCTTCCTGGAAGTCATCATGAGAGTGTGCCCAGGGCTGAACCTGTTCTCAGTGGCGTTGAGTTCTCAGGGTGCACGCGCCAAGTCAAATCTTAACGTTATGAAGCTCCTGTCTTCCTCCCATATGTGTTAGGCATCCTGATAGAGACAGCAGCTTAGCTGGAGTTGTAGGACCTCAGGTGTGGGCTGGGGGTCAGGACAATGACTATAGTTCTAGAAGAGGTTCTTTGTGAAAGGAACACTGGATTTGGACCTCAAGGGAAGAACCATGCGGAGGAGTGAAGAAATGTTGGATTCGCCCCGAGTGGAAGAAGATGAGAGCTATAAATAAGAGAAGGTCTTACAGGCATAAGGAGTGAGGAGCTGAGGAGAGGGTTAGGGAAGGCCCTGGGGATTGGCACATGGGGTCCACAGCAGTGTTGGTAAAGTAGGGACAATGGCTGAGTTCTCCAAAAGAGGAAATATGAAAAATCAACTGGCAGGAGACTGTTAGGGGGCCACACCCATGATTTTAGAAGCTAAAAGGAATAACATAAGTAGACACTCCTGGGATAAGGGATCTAGGGCACTCAAGACTCAGGAAATGGGAAACGTGAGAGGGAAACTTTCAGATAGAGAGGGAGAGTCATCAATATGGTTGGAGATGAAGGGTATTGAAGATGGTGATCCAGTAGTAAAAGGACTCACTTGACAAGGCCAGGAAACTTGTTTGGTTGTCTTTATCCCCAGAACATTCATGAGGCCTGGCTCAGGGTAGGCAGTCAGCCGCTATGTGTAGCTTTGGGCTCCATGGGCTGTACAAGTTGGATGCTCTTCTAGGTCACTGGCATTCTTCCTGGAGAAGAAGTCAAAAGAGAGGGATCTCGAGGTGGGCCTCTTCTTTCACTTCCCTGTTCATGTCACCCCATTGTTTCTCACTCCCCTCCCCCCCCCCCGGAAGCACTGGTTTCAGGGCAGCTTTGGTGTCAGAGTTCTTAAACGCATTACTCACTTCGCTTTGGTGGCCTTTCTTCACAGGCAGCATGAAGAAAGAGTTTCTTTCTGACCCGGTGAAATTGACCTTAATTTCTAAGTAGATTTTTAAAAATTTAAGTTTCCTTTGGTCTATTTAGCCCCTTGAGGATGTCTGTGTTTCATCTCCTCCACCTCGCTTTTCAGCAGAGCAAGGATGAAAGTGTCACCAAAGCTCGTCAGTGTGTCTGCCTC